ATATTTATTTAATTGCAAGTTAATATATAAAATTTTGTATAATTATATTTTAATTCAAATGTATCAAGTTGGTGTATTATCCTTAATAAGATGACCAATACAATATATATGTATTAAATAACAAAAGTTTCTTATAAAAATAATAAAGGTTTTTTATTAAAACAATAATTATGTAGTATAAGATAGTATACTTTAAGATGTTAGAAATTTTATTAGATATATAATTAGATATAAAATTAACATAGATATATTAATAAGGTTTTGTAAATAAATATTATTAAAAAATTAATAATTTTAATTTAAATTAATTTACTTAACTAACAACAACATTGAACAATATTTATTGTGAACTTAAACTATAAATTTTAATTAAATTTTTTTTATTTTTAATTTTTTTTTTATAAAAATTTATATAATATTTTTTATAACAAAATTTATGATTTTGATTAGTTAAGTCAATATGTATTATCTAATAAATTTACAATTAGGTAATTTAATCATATTTAAAATAGTATATTTATTATTTTAAGTAATTATATAAAAGAAAGTTGTCTAAAGCACATATTGATTTTTATACTGCATAAATTATATTTTTAATATTTTTATAAATATTAAATCTAAATATATAAAAACTAATACTAATGCATATATGATTAACTATTTTTCAAAAAAAATTTTAATTTTATAAATAAATAAAGTATATAAAAACAAAAATTTAAAGTTAGAACATTAATACTAAAAGTTATAGATATAACTTATTATTTATTATATATAAAATTTTAAACATTTGATCAATACAGTCAAATTTCTCTATAATCACACCCTTGGTTTTAAGAATTTGGTACTTATAAAGAGTTTGTGCCTATATGAAGATTAAATTTTATAAGTATTATATAAGTTAGTTTTAAAATTTTATGTAATTATAAGCTAATGTGACTATAGAGAAGGTAACTATAGAGAGGTCTAACTATATATATATTATTTTAAATCTTATAAAGAAAATTTTTTATACTATTATAAATTAAATTCAGTTATTATTGTAAATTAATAAATAAAAATAAAAAATAATCAAGTCATAAAATAAAAAACCTAACCTATCATTATCAAAATATATAAGATCTATTATTAATAATTAAAAATTTTATATAATATATTAAAAATTATAAATGATTTAAAATATTATATTAAACTATATGTTAATAATTATAGTATTAAAAGATTACAAAAATTGAATTTTTTTAAATAGTATTATAACTATTAAATAAAAAAATAAGTTAAATAGTATAAATAATAAACTAATTTAACTCAAATAATATATGTTAAAAAAATAAATTCAAATAGTAATTAAAAATAATTTATATAATCTTTAAGTAATATTTTGTTAAAATATTTAATTATAAAAATTGAATATTAATTCTTGACATTTGGTAAAGTTATATAATTGATTAAAATATATATAATGATAATACTTTGTTTATTTATAATCGTTATTTTCTATACTAATCTAGCTGTTATAATTGTAAAATTTGATATTTTAATAATTCTAAAATAAAAAATATTTAAATAAATTATAAATATTAATAAAATAATACTTAAAAATTTAAAAAATTTTATAATTATAATATATTATTTATCAAAAAATAAAAAAATAAAATATTACTTACTCTTATATATAATAATAAAAAATATATTCTATATAATAATTTAAAATTCAAATTATTTATATTAAAAAACTTAAAGCTATTAACTAAATCTTTAAAAAAAATTTATTATTTTTATTATTATTTATAATTAATTTTTTAAAAAATATATAACCTTTATAGACTTAATAAAAAAAAATTTTTTAATTTTTAGTATTTCTTTTTCTTAACTGTTAATATATAAAATTAGAAAATAAAAAACAAAATCAATAATTAAATATATTATTATAAACAAAAATCATAATACTAACTAACTTAAAAAAATAATTGTTTCTATAACCTTATAACTAAATCAATAATATATATAATAATATACTTGAAACATTGTATCAGATTCTAATTAAGACTATATAATTAAAAAAATTTATATCAAGTTTTAATATAGAAATTATTACTTATTTAATAAAAAAATTTAATTAAAACTTATCTGTTTATACTGTAGTAATTGAAAATAGACATTGGTTTAATTTTAGTTTATTTAAAATAAGTGCAATTATGATAATAATGAAAGAATTAACTATAAAAAAGTGAACTATTTTTTTTTGTTTGTTTGAATTGTAAAGAATACTAAAGTAATAAAAAATTAGATATAAAAGAGTTAAAAGTTAATACAATTAAAGTAAAATGAATTAGTAATTTTATAAAAATAATAGAAAAAGTTTATATTATTAATTAAATGAATACTTTTATATTCACAAATGTAAATATAAAATAAATTAATTTGATTTATTTAAAAATTTTATGTTATAAATACAGTAAATATATGATTTCCAATACTAACTTTACTCTAACTCTAACTCTAATCCTAATTTTAGCTTTTATTATTTTTTTAATCGTATGCTTATTTCTATTATAGCATTAGGATGCACTAATTGCATAGATGCACCTTTTAGATTTTCTTTATTTAAAATTATTTAAATTAAAATTAAATATTTTATATAATATTATAATCTAAAGACATTATTATTAAATTTAACTTTTAAATTGTAGCAATAATTAAAAGTATTAAAGATTTTAAATAAAACAATTTTTGTAGTAAAAATTAAGAAAAATTTTTGTAGAAAAAGAGCATTTATTATGTTTATTATACGTAGAATGTCTCAGATATGCCAAAAGTGATTTTTATATATCCTTTACTTGTAAATAAGATTTAATTAGAATTCTCAGATGAAAAGTAAAAAAATACAAGAAATATAAATATAAGGATTCATCAAGCAAGCATAAAAATAATGATTAATTAAGAATTACATAATAAATTAACAGTATAATGCTTTATTATTGCGCTTTGCAAAATAGTGTGGCCTTCGCAGATCATGATAACATGTAAAATCACGGGAAATTGGGCGATTTTTCGATTCTAAGAGAATTTTACAGATTTCAAAATAGATAGAAATATTACTGATTGAATATATGATTGATAGACTATTTGGAATCTCCGAAATTTCCCATTATCGTTGTCATGAAATTTGTGGGGTTACACTTTTTTGCAAAGCGCAATAAAAATAAAGAAATACTGTAGAACCAATAATAAATCAAACAATTGTATTAAATTTCCGCATAATCGGCATCAGTCAATCATATATTAGTATATTAGGTTTCTATTTTTTTTTTTAATTGATGACTATAATTACTATTACAATTTCATGCATATAATTAAATAGAAATAATAACTTTCGATAAATCAAATTTATTTAAGTATAATAAACTAATTCTTGTATGATAGAGTTGTGATTTTGCATTTCTAACCTTATATTTACATAAATAATAAAATAACTATTATAAATTTATAATTCTAGAGATGGTTTTACCTTTTTATCATCTCTATGTGGTTTAACAGTTATTAAAGGCAATGATGAGATAAATGTTAATCCTGCAAAAACAATTACAATTCTAAATGCGGCATCAAAAGCTAATACCAAATTATGAATTAAGAATTCTGGTATTTGGCCTTGTGCAGCTGAACTAATGCTACCCAAAGACCCTTGAAATTGTGGGGGTAAATTTGAATTAAAGACATTATTAAAGACTGTGCCTAGGATAGCTGTACCAAAAACTAGACCTACTTTAGAAAAAAAGATATTATGTAAGCAATCAAAATTTTTATCTAATTTAATAAAATAAAATATAAAACGATATAAATACGTACTATCTCTAAAAAATGATAACATTGCAGTAACTGTAGCAATATCTTTATATTGCACAATTCCTTGTCCTGCTAATATAGAAGTTTGCATAATTGATCCAATGCCAATACCAGTAATTATTGAGTAACCAACTATCTGACCTTCGCTTGTATTTTCTGAAAACATGCTAATAAATACAGACCCCACTGCCATTAAAATACTTCCAAAAATACAAATTGTACCATAAGAAAAAAAAACAGTCCTTGAAACTAGTTGGCCTGTAAAAATATCTGTAAAGGCTATACTCATTAGGAAAGGAAGAAGCTCCAAACCTGAAGTGGTAGCTTTGAGATAATAAAAATATTTATGAACAAGATAATATTTATGTATCAATGGTAGAAAATATAATAGAATTGCTTATTTACCAGATTCAGACCTAACAACTTGAAAATAAAGTGGCATAAAGATCACCAAAGAAAAAAAAAACATTCCTTGAAAAAGAGTTACACCGAAACTCGCAACAATCTTTGGATTTTTGAATAAATAAACTAATAAATAATAAATTAATAAAATACTAGCAATAAAAATAACCAGTAAAGATGACTGCACGACAAAAAAAAAAGAAAATTTACGAGGAGCAATCGGTTTTGAAGCAAACTTTGCTTCGATAAGAATAAATATAATATATCCAATACCCCCTAAACATAATAAAATTATAATAATAGGGTCACTCCATTCTGAAATTTGAGAAAATATAAAAATTAATATGCTGTCAAAATAATGAGATAATATAAAGATATATTTTTAAAGATGAACTAACCATATTTTGAGCCGGCCCAATTAAGCGGTAATAACAAGAGAATAGTAGCAGTAAACAGAGTAAAAGAACCCCACCAATCAATGCGCAAAAGTTTTGAACAAAAAGATCCAGTAGGACTTGGAAGGTGTAATAGAAAAACAACAAAGACAAAAGTGATGATACCTAGAGGAATATTTATAAAAAATGCCCATCTACAAGTAGGTTAAATGTATATTCAACAGAATAATAATTAAAAAAATACAAACCTCCATGTGATCTTGTCAGTAAAAACACCACCCAACAATGGTCCCATAACAGATGCGATAATAAAACAAGCACCAATCAACCCTTGGTATTTTCCACGCTCACTTATTGGAACTATTTCAGTAATAATAATCATTACAAGTCTAGAGAATTAATAAAATGAGATTAGATAACTTAATATTTAAATTCTCAAAATAATAATAGTAATAAATAAATTGCCCTATAAGACCACCTCCCCTAATTGCCAAATAATTTTATTAATTTCAATAAAATACTGATTTTACCGATTTTAAAGAATATACTTGAAACAAAAAATAACTTACCCTAGACCTGAAACAGCACGTGATATGATTAACATGGTCTATAAAAATTATTAGCTCAAAATGAAGAAAAAAAAATCCCAAAATTAATGAATTCATTACCATATTGACGGATAGACCACATAAAAGAGAGCCAAGTTCGAATAAAAATATAGATGTGAGAAGGACAGGTTTCTGCATTGAAAATATTATATAAATATGAAAATATGGAGATTTAACTATTTTTTACCGTAATGAAATAACAGTAATACTCACTCGACCAAATATATTTGAAAGTTCACCATATATTGGCTGGATCGCGGTCTATTGATATATATGTATATTAATGTTAATGCTAATATTTTCATTACGATAAAACTACTGCATGAAAAATTGACCGGTTAGTGGTCCGAGGTGACAAATTTTTTTCTTAATTTGCTAATTATATTATTACACAATTTATTCTTTCACTAACGCTAATATGGTATATGTAAGTCGGCATTGAATCAAACATACCTCAGTAACTAAATAAGCCGTTCCGACCCATACAATTTCATCGAGTGATTTGAATTCTAATGCGATAGCTGGAAAAGCAGTAGCAACTATAGTTTGATCCAAAGCTGATAAAAATACAGCCAGCGAGAGACTACACATTTAACTAAATCGTATTAGCATCTATGTATATATTTTTGGAATATTTAAAAACAATTGTTATTCATACCCAAAAACGACTAGTATAAATCGAGTTTTACTCATGGTATGTTGTTTATGAAAATTATTGGCTTCAGAGATCTCTATTACATTATTATCAGAAGATGACTGATCTTTTTCTGCTACATTTGCAAGCTCATAAGATAGTTGAGGTATAGCTTTAACTTTTGGATTATTTATTACATTTGTAGACACCGATGCATGAAATTCATTCTCGTTTTGAGACATTGGATAATTAAATTATTGTGGTGGCTGAAGCTGAAATTTTGAATACGTATTTTATTATGAAATTTTTGAGGTGCACTTTTTTAGGGTCAACGTTAGGGTTTATTAATAAAAAAAAGTGTGGGTAGGTTTTAATAGGTTATATAGATATAATTAGTGACCTCAAAATTGCAGCTGCATCCAATTTAAGCTTCAATCCACAATTATTAATTTTGGATTTTTTTTTGTACTAACTTTCAATGGAATAGAAACTGTGACTTGCATAACAATGGTAGAATTAACTTTTTGCTGATTTATATAGAGTTTAATCGAAGAATCATCAAACCTATGTACGTAGGCATTTGTTGTGTTTGAAGTTAGCATATCTTTGGTTGGATCTGCCTAAAATTAATAAATAATGCAAGAAAATCTTATTTCAATACCTAATTTCAGTCAATGCAATTCTAATCACTTAAAGTTGCAACTTCAGGTAAATGCTAACTTCAAGCGTAATATCTACAAGTGGTCAGTTGAAATGGTATTGGCTAAATTTTAATGTGTAATTACGTTATGCGTTTGGAATAATGGCTATTCCGAAAACCTGTTTTTAGAGCAATATTTACCTAAAGCAGTTCAAATTCAATATAAAGAATTTTTTCTTAACAATTGTCCTACGGAAGATAGATTGAAGATATCCTTCATTTACGCTACTTCATTTATATATCTGACGAAAATAATCAGATGTATTAGTGCTGTAATAAACGCTTTTATAAAGGCAACCGGCTACAATAAAGTTTGGCATTCTCAGATTACCCTAAGGGTATATCAAATATTGTATCATCTACTTGGCTGGTGTATTTTGATTTTGAATATTTAAATTATATTGTTATTGTGACTATACCAATATATTCTAAGTTTCGAAGTATTTTGCCGACATAATTCTGTCTTCTTTGAAAATTTCACTAAACAATTAAAATTTCTAAATTTTGCTCGATCACCTTTTTTTAACGCTTTTAAATTTTTTCTGGTCAATTTTATTATATTTAGAACTATCCTAAGCGAGGTAATAAAACGTCAGGAAGGTAATTTTTTATTATATAAATACGTCTTAACCTAAAATGTCCTTAATACTAAGATAAATTAAGTAAAATATTGGGGTTGTGAGGTATCTATGCTTTAATATTTACGAATCGCCAAAAAGTGAAAAATATATAAAAATATAGAAACAGGAGTCTAAACCTATCTTGGAGCACTCATAAAAGTTGCCAAGAGAACAGTCCTAGAGTTTCAATCCGGATAATCTGTCATCCATTTATCCGTATCTATTATCCGGACAATTATCCTGATGTCAATAGTGAATGAATATAATATATAAATTGATAAACGATAATGGATAGAAACACTAAATAGTTTTACTTATATACCAGAAATGGAGTGCAATGAAGAGTAATTCTTGACATCTGATTGAGTGATTACTCCTCATGATTTTGTTTTATGATTTCTATATTTGCGCTTTTCTAATATATCGTTGTTTAAAATACTGTTTAGTCAATACAATTCATTAAATGAACCCGTTTTTAAAAAATGACGAAAGACAAAACCTAATCTTTTGACAGACAAAAATGACGAAACGTCTGTGTAGGGATGGGTTCGGTCACGAACGGTCATAATCATTCATAGTCAATTTGCTAAATACTGAGATGATTTTTTACTTTT